TAGAAACATAGAATGGTTTGGGTTGGAAGGGACCTTAAAGGTCATCTGGTTCCAGCCCCCCTGCCATGAGCAGGGACATCTTCCACTAGACCAGGTTGCTCAGAGCTCCATCCAACCTGGCCTTGGACACTGCCAGGGAGGGGGCAGCCACAGCTTCTCTGGACAACCTGTGCCAGTGTCTCACCACCCTCATGGTGAAGAATTTCTTCCTAATATCTAATCTAAATCTGCCCTCTTTTAGTTTACAGCCAGTCCCCCTTGTCCTATCACTACACACCCTTGTGGAAAGCCCCTCTCCATCCTTCCTGTAGGCCCCTTCAGGTACTGGAAGGCTGCTCTAAGGTCTCCCCGCAACCTTCTCTTCTCCAGGCTGAACAGCCCCAACTCTCTTAGCCTGTCCTCGTAGGAGAGGTGATCCAGCCCCCTGATCATCTTCGTGGCCCTCCTCTGGCCCCGCTCCAACACATCCATGTCCTTCTGCTGTTGGGGGCTCCAGAGCTGGACGCAGGACTCCAGGTGAGGTCTCACGAGAGTGGAGTAAAGGGGCAGAATCCCCACCCTCACCCTGCTGGCCATGCTGCTCTTGATGCAGCCCACGATACCGTTGGCTTTGTGGGCTGCAAGCGCACATTGCCAGCTCATGTTGAACTTCTCATCCACCAGTACCCGCAAGTCCTTCTCCTCAGGGCTGCTCTTGAGCCATTCTGACATCTGCCACATCTGACATTAAATACAAGTTGCTTTTCCCTTCTTAGTGATTCTGATAGCAGTTACATGGGATGAGATGATCTGTAATCTTTGTACAATGGCTACACTGCTTTATACTGTAATTCACAACAAGTCACCAAATTTTGTTTTATGTGCATTGAAACTTCAAAGTCATGGATAGCTAAAGCTAAATGGTAGTGATGGTTAAAGCCGGGATTTTCTCTGTTGTTAGGTAGCTTCTTAGGAGGTTTTGAATTTCAGAGTAGACTGGTGAAGCATTATTGCAGCTGTGTGATTGTATTTGGCATTTTGGTATCCACTTCTGATATTTTTTCCATGTGTATTATATTGTAATCACTCAGTGTTGCTATTTGTGCTTAGTTTCACACAGAAGAAAAGTTAATAAATAAGAATAAAAATTTACAATAAAATTTCTTCTCTGTAGCTTTGTCAGCTTTAGAGTTGTCTCAAAGTGGTTGGTATAATGGAAAAGTACTCCTGTTGCCAGCTCACTTATATCGGTAGACAAACCATCTTTCATAGTAAATGGAATTGCTCCCTTACACAGGGCGAGGATTTAATTTTTTGCTGCTAAATTTCTTTCTTAGAAAAGGCAATGTCAAAGTAATTTGGACTAATAAAACTGCGTCATGTGAATGCTCCAAGAACTGATTAAAAAATCTGTGGCTTCTTCCATAGAAGCGAATCTGACAGCTGCAGAGTGAGAATGTGCACAGGTGATCAAATACTGTGGGGCTTAATATTGTGCAGGTCATAATTGTGATGGAACGTCTTCCTTTTAGGGTATATGCTTCTTTCTAGTTTTAGTTTAAAAAAAATTTTCAGTTATTAAAAAAAGTTATTTCTAGTAAAAGAGTAAGATACTCTTATAATTGCAGTAGGGTTTAAAACATATGCATGTAAATGTGTGTGTATTTATATTTATGCATATATATTTATATTTGTGCATAAATATTACTTCTGATATGTGTATAATGATTCTGCGGTGTGTTACTGAAATTGTGCTGTTCTCTTTTCCCCCACATCTGAACAGCACCCGGCAATGCCATCTGCTTCTTGATGTCTTCAATTCTACAGAGCATGAGCTGACCATCAGTGCTAGGAATAATGAAGATTTAATTCTGCATGCTGGGGAATGTCAGCGGTAAGTGCTTTCAGTATAAAAGAGCCCTGTTTTTAACCCTATTATATATTTATATACAATTTATGATACTTGGGGCCTATTTTTCTTTGTAAACGTTGTGCACATGTGAAAGAATACAAGAGTTTTACTTTCTTTAAGGTGCGTCACTGAGTTCTAGCAGTACCTCAAGTGAATTTATTTTGGCTATGAATCTAGTAGTACTGAAAATAACAAAATACAAAATAGTTGGTTCTGAGGTGTACAGATCATTTAACTTGTTTTTGTAGAATGTTTGGATATTATTTTCATGTCCTCTGAACATAGTTCTGATGTTAAAACCTGATCTCACTAGTTCGTTAACCTTTCTCAGGTTTCTCTTTTCTTGATGTGATTCCCCAGCCATTTAATCAGTTTTTGTAGAAAGAAGACTGCAGGAAAGAAATATAGAATTGAACAAAAAGCAGTCACAATTTCTGTGGAAAAAATATTTTAGATTAAGTAGTATATTGATTCTTACAACCCTACTATGGTGATATAAAGGTCGTTCTGTAGCTAACTGTAACCATTATTTGCCATAATATATCTACCTAGGATTCCTACTGCTGGCTGTACCCTAGTTTGCTTGGTCTGTCTCCTTCAGATGATCGTTACATCTAGATGACACCATTTTCATCTGAAAAAGGATGAAACTGTGAAAAAGGAAATGTTTCTGTTCCATCATGGGCTATCTGCACACTTTTCCTCTTTGGGCGAGTTGTGCTGCAGTCTTAAATCATGCAGTTGATAAACTTATTTAAGGAGAGATACTTTCATGTTGTCAAACCTCAGTCTGAATATAAAGTTCAGAGTAAAACCACATCAATTGCAAGGCATGCAGTTGTCAAAAAGGGGTGTAGAAGACGTAGCAGTAGTAGTAAATTTAGAAAGCTTTTTGCCGTAGTGGCTCTGAGAGCACAACCATGAGAAAAGACATCGGCTCAAACCAAGGCTGAATTCTCTTCATTTTACCTTACCGAGGAATGGACAAAAATATCAGTAACGTACAGTGCCTGTTCCTTTTATTTAGAAAGAATTGGCTTTTTCTCTCATTTTGAAAGCAGTCTAAATACTCACAAAAATGTGCATGTTTATATCCATATTGTTTTGAAATTTTATTTTTACGCCTCTTGCTATTTCCCATCATTTTTGTACTTGGTAAACTCCTTGACATTTTTCACTCCAAATTCTTGGGATGATATGTAACAAATAGAAATAATACTACAAATAAGGTTATAAAATTACTTTGCATCTCCTTGATTGAATTACTTTTATTTTCTTATGGATTTTATAATTGAAGTTTAAATATCCTTAAATCACTGTATTATAATGGATATAAACCCTTTCAATAAGTCTTTTGAAACAGTAATTTATCAAGGCAGTTTGTGTATTTGTTGCAAGTATATAAACCTTTTAAGGATAGTGATTTTTATTCTTACTTCAAAGTATTTTATGGTTTTACCCTTGGTTAGAAACTGCACTGAGTTTTCTATCAGTTTTGTGAATTAATTTGTTACCTGTTTCTGGAATGAGAAGTGCTTTTAATTGTATCAATGTGTATAGAACTCCTGTATTGCTTTGGGTTTTAATTTTTATTGTGATGGATCTGTTACAGAAACTTGGGTAGGGCATACACTGGGCCTTTAAACTGGCTTACTCCTGCAAGCAAAGGGCTTTTGCTAATCTTATTAAAAAAAAATGAGAAAACTTTCCCTTTTTTGAGCTATAGTTCTAGATCTTTCTGTTTTAACATAGGACAGTCATTCTCAGGAGTTTGCGTTTGAACCAAGTGTTTTCAGTTCTAATATGCAATGTTTTTCAACAAGGCCTCCTACTCTGAGATTCTCCTTTTATCGTTTTTTTTCTTTGGACATCATTTTTTGTTAATATATGGTTAATATTTAAAGAAAGGCTCTTCAGTCAAGTTCAGGTGTTTTTCCCCTTCCCTGTAAATTCTTGATTCCATCCTAGACCTTAATGTTTTCCTCATTCCACTTTTGTTTAGATTATAACTTTTTCACCAGCTTTGGTCACTCTTGCTTCCTTTTGTAATTTACTCTCCCTCCATTCATCACCATCGTTTTGAAATCTCCTGTCCTGACAAAGTGTAGACAGCAGGAAATTGTTTTCTTCGTTCCAGTTCTTATTGCTGGAGACTCTTAAGTGTTTTCATCTTCTCTGCCTACAGACCTAAAAAGAAGGGATAGAGCTGCGTCCTGCTTACTGCTCACCTCTTTGCTTCCCACTTTACACAGAACCACAGACTGGTAGGGGTTGGAAGGGACCTCTGGGGATCATCTTGTCCAACCCCGCTGCATGGATTTTCCATTATATTTGTTGTGCTGAGGCCCAGACCCGCTTATTTTTCTACCCTGAAATCACAGAGTAATTAGATACAGTCATTTAAATAAATGTGATGTGGGTTAACCCACTGCTGGTAATATTCACAGAATCACAGAATGTTCGGGGTTACGAGGGACCTCTGTGGGTCATCTAGTCCAACCCCCCTGCCAAAGCACGGTCACCTAAGGCAGGCTGCACAGGACCTCGTCCAGGTGGGTTTTGAATATTTCCAGAGAAGGAGACTCTACAACCTCCCTGGGCAGCCTGTTCCAGTGCTCCGTCACCCTCAGAGTAAAGAAGTTTCCTCATGTTCACATTCAGAACTTCCTATGCTTCAGTTTGTGCCCATTGCCTCGTCCTGTCACTGGGCAGACTCTGAAAAGAGTTTGGTCCCATCCTCTTGACACCCACCCTTAAGATATTTGTAGGCATTTATAAGGTCCCCTCTCAGCCTTCTCTTCTTCAGGCTAAACAAGCCCAGCTCCCTCAGCCTCTCCTCGTAGGAGAGATGCTCCAGTCCCCTCATCATCCTCGTAGCCCTCCACTGGACTCTCTCCAGTAGCTCCTCCTTTGTATGTTTAGAAAGTGAAATAACTTGGAAGTCTCTGATGTGTTACTTCTCTTTTCTATATTACGGAGCCGTCACTGTAAAATATAAATTTTGCCCTCCTGTGCCTGACTGGAGTGAATTTGCAGGGAATTCTTCCATTACTTTTATATAAAATGAAGAATGGTGGTGGAAGGCTCTGGATTCTATGCTTACTAAAGCGCTCTCCACAATATATTTGATTTATAACAAGGGTATATAATTGGCCATGGTGCTGGAAGTGGGGGGGTGGAGGAGATGGAAGCAGAAATGCCAAAAGAGGCCTGGGATCATCAGCAGATGAGTACGGGCACTGGCAAAACTTGCCGAGGTCTGAAGTGAAGTTTGCTTCAATTAACTTAGAGATCGGGAAATAACAGCTGTTAAAATATGTGTGCAGTATGATAAAATGGTATTATACTGTTAAGGAAAGGTGGCATCCTTTAGGCCACTAAAATCCTATCTGGAAAATATATGCCTTTTTGTACAGAAAGATTATTCTGCTGACCACTTAAGATTATCATTTTAGCTTTCAGAAAACTTTAAGCTTACAATTTACTTAATATTTAAGTCATTGATTGGGAATATTTAGTGTGTGCGTTGTAACTGTTCTTGGCTATGTATATAAGCAGTCTTTTTGAAAAGCGACACTCTTTTCCCTCTATTTTAGGATAGAGGAACATGTGCTTTGTTCCCTATTGTTTTATAGAAAGAAATGATAATCTGGCTCAGTGGTTATTTCACTCATTTTTCTGCCTTTTATCATTATATTTCCTGCAGATACACAAATAGGAAGGATCAGCATTTTGTTTTTCTCCTGTATCACAAGATGTTACTTAGTGATCTTCATACTCCCCTTTTTGGCTTCCATATGATTTGAAATGTTCCTCCCTGTCCCATTGTGGGACAATGAGTGATTTGTTTTACTTTGAGGCCATTTGTTTGTAGAAGTCTGCGATGGTGAGAAGAGAGAATTAAGACTCATTTGGAGGACGGAAGAAAAAGAGATTTGCCCTCCCTCTCCTATGAGGTGGCATGGGGAAGAAAAGAGAGGGGCAAGGGTTTTGGCATGTCCTCCGATGAACTCCTGAACATATATTTAGGGTTCATGACAAAGCTAGATTCAAAATCAAATGATTTTTGCTGCTCTACATCTACAAGAGTTTGGACAGCTGATGTCCCAGCAAGAAGGTAGACAAGTTACTCGAGTGAAGGTCAGGCTGTGACGAGATGTCCACAATGTCTTCAGTTAACCAGAAATATTTGCTGTACCACACCGTGGTGTCAGTATGTTTTGTTACTCTACCCAGTTGAATATACTTCGCGTTGTGATGAGGGAAACCAGTTCGGATATGTGCTGTTGGAAAGTTCAGCCTTCAGATGTTTTCCTAGACTAGGGGAGCCTCCTGCCTGCAAAGCTGTTTCTTGAAGCAGTCAGCTGCATGCTGCTGAAGGGGCTTTGCTGTGAACGTAGAAATGTTTTCGATGTAGTCAGCGGTAAAACTGAATTTGTTTATCATCGTGATGTGGCATTCAACAGGTTGCTCTGAAACGGAGGAATATAGCAGACAGCTCTTGGAGGGGAATTGTATTATGTATGTTAAGAAAAAAGTGTTGCCACTAGCAGTGATTTTAATTTATTGAAAAACTTAGGTATGGTAATTATTGTGTTTCTTACTTGATTATCAAACCATTAAAATTAAATTTCATTACAACCCTCATTTATACGTAAATCACTTCATAATTTATGGTAATAGAAGTTATCTCATTATGTACCCCAGGATATCTCATTTTGTACAACATACGCTGTGTTGCTCTCACATTTCTATTCTGTGCACGGTGTGTCTGGCATTCGGGAACAGCTAACATCATCGTCAGTGGAAGATTTATCGTGGTGATGGTCGGAGTAGATCAATTCTCTCATCTATCCTTGTGGTACAACACAACTGGGCTGTTAAAGTCTTCCGTGTATCTGAGACTCCACAGTTGGTGGCTGTAGATGTGACACTTTTAGACGTTAGAGTTTCCAGACTCTTTTGGCTTTGGTGTGAGGACC